TGAAAATGAAGACATCAGGTTTAATTTTTATTTATTTATTCAACACCACAAACTGTATGTCACATAAACACTGATAAATAAACTGAACACACTATTAAAACACGTTAACTGAACTTTAATGGATTAAATAAAAAAAATGAGAGGAATTTTAAATAAATAGTTCATCAACATCTCTCTCTCTTCAACGTCCTCCTGCCCTGCATCTGGGCCGAGCCTAGTTCAGAACCGGTCCGTCTGGTGGAGGACAGCTTCTTCTTCTTTCAGGAAAAAATAAAAACTCAGTTGGTGGTTTTGTAACCGAAGTAAACACAAGCTAACATTATTAAGAACATTTGATTTACCTGCTGTAAATCAGTTACTGATTATCATGGAGTAAAGTCTGACATCGTCGACTCGGTTCTGGTCCACTCAGCGACCGGTGTGGAGCTGTTAGATGAAGCGGTCCCGCTTGGCATCAAATCTGTTGACTCTTATCCAAAATCCAGCATTAACTTGTTGTTACGTTGTTGTTAGCTTGATTAGCCCAGTGGAAAACAGTGTGCCGAGGCAGCACGCATGCGCATTAGGTCAAGGTACAAAATTCACAGCGCCATCTAATGACACGGCATGGTAACTACAGCGGATTCGGGAGGGCGGGGGGAGGGGGATCCTCTGGATGCATGTAAACCCAAAATGCGACCGTGTCAACGCAAATCTTTTCCTCTAATTAACATACGAAAAAAACTACGTTTCCCCCCATCGTGTCCGTGTAAATAGGGCCTTAAAGTTGCGTTATATGTTTTTAAAGTGGAAATCTGAGGCCTCCTCCTCTGTTAAGAGATGGTTTTTCACTTTTTACATAAATTGCTTCCTTCACCCCCCTCTCAAACCATCTGTGTTCTTGGTCCAAAATGTGCACATTCTGGTCCTCAAAAGAGTGTCCCTTATCTGTGAGGTGGAGGTGAACAGCTGAGTCTTGTGCTGAAGAGCTGGCTGTCCTGTGTTGAATCATGCGTCTGTGAAGAGGCTGTTTAGTTTCTCCAATGTAGAGGTCTGGACAGTCCTCGCTGCACTGGACCACATACACTACACCACTCTGTTTGTGTATGGGTGTTTTGTCCTTAGGGTGGACCAGCCTCTGTCTGAGAGTCCTGCTGGGTTTGAAATGTACTGGGATGTTGTTTGTTGAAAATCCTTCTGAATTTCTCTGATACTCCAGCAACATAAGGGATGACAATGTTTTTACGTCTGTTGTTCTCCTTTTTCTGTTTATTTGTGTGTTTTGTAGATTTCCTCGCTGACTTGACAAAAGCCCAGTTAGGATATCCACATGTTTGAAGAGCTTCTTGAACGTGTTTCTGTTCCTTTTCCTTCCCTTCTGTCTTGGTGGAGACGTATTCGGCCCGATATTGTAAAGTTCTGATGACAGAGAGAGTTTGTGTTCCATTGGATGGTGGGAGTCAAACAGAAGATACTGGTCTGTGTGGGTTGGTTTTCTGTAAACTTCAATGTTGAGGCTGTCCTCTCTTTCCATCTGAATCAAACAGTCCACAAAAGGCTTGTTGTCGTTTGCATCCTCTCTGGTGAACTTGATGTTGTTATCGACCAAGTTAATGTGTCTGGTGAACACTTTTATTTCCTTAGCTTGGATTTTGACCCAGGTGTCATCCACATATTGGAACCAATGGCTTGGTGTTGTTCCCTCAAAGGAGTTTAGGGCTCTCTGTTCCACTTCCTCCATGTAGAGATTGGCAACAATGGGTGACACTGGAGATCCCATTGCACACCCGTGCTTCCGTCTGTAAAAACCATTATTGAACCTAAAATAAGTGGTGGAGAGGCAGAGATCCAACAGGGTGCAGATCTGGTCTGGGGTGAAGTTGGTCCACCAGTGGAACTCCAGGAAGCCCTCAAAAGCATGTCCAATAAAAAGGCTCCAGGTCCGGATGGATTTCCAGCAGAGTTCTACAAAGAATTCTGGAATATCCTGGCACCACTATTTCACAGAATGCTGTAGGAAACTGAGAAAAATAACAGACTTCCAGAAAATATAAACTCAGCCAACATTAGGCTCCTGTTAAAACCAGGTAAAGACCCTGTATTACCTACCAGTTATCATCCCATATCCCATATCCCATATCAATGTTGATCTTAAAATAATTTGTAAAGCCCTCTCAAAAAGATTGGAAAAGATAACTCATTTCATAATACATCCTGACCAAACTGGTTTTATAAAAGGGAGGCATTCATCCACAAATTCATGCAGATTATTTAATTTAATTGATTATTCTTACAGTAAAAATATTGAAACTGCAATATTCTCTCTAGATGCAGAAAAAACTTTTGATAGAGTTAACTGGAAATTTTTATTTGCAGCCTTGCATAAATTTGGTTTTGGAAATTATTTCATAAACTGGTTAAAAATATTATACACTTCCCCATCAGCATGCATTAGGACAAACAATCAAATATCTGCTAGTTTTGCTCTGCAAAGGGGAACCAGGCAGGGATGTCCACTCTCCCCCTCACTGTTTGCTACTTTCATCGAACCGCTAGCCGCAGCAATCAGGCAAACTACAGATATTAAAGGTATAAAATGCAAGAACATAGAACAAAGTCCATGCTCAATAATCCATGTATACAATCCAACATTTTTCAGTCAGGCCATCTGGACAGTTTTTTTTTTTTGTGTGCTGAAACATTTCGCCTTCGGTCCGGAAAGCTTCATCAGTCAAGAAAACACACAACAAAACTAATTCTTCCCCCAACAGCTTACTCCAAAGTGGAACAAACCAATTCTGCTTGTGATAAGATGATCTCTTTGGTACACCCCCTCCTCCATTACCGGCCCTCTTCCTTGTTGACAGTCTTGTCAAACTGGTTGAAAACAACAAAGTCCATGCTCAATAAACCTGGTATACAATCCAACATTTTTCAGTCAGACTGAAAAAATGTTGGTTTGCCATAATGTATTTTGGGGTTTAAAAGCCACTGGGACGTTGTGTTTTATAAAATAAACTTCTCAGTTTCTCTGATAATCTCGCAACATACGGAATGACCACTGGTCTGGGTCTGGGTTCCTCCTTTTCACCTGATGGCTGACTGGAGTCCAGTTTGGGTTTCTTCTCTGCTTTCAGGAAGGTCCAGTTAGGATATCCACATTGCTCTAGAGCCTGTCTTGTGTGGGATTTCTCCTTCTGCCTGGCTCCTAAGTTAGTGGGGATGCTGTCTGCTCTGTGGTACAGAGTCCTGATGACTCCTAACTTGTGCTCCAAAGGGTGATGGGGGTCAAACTACAAATACTGGTCTGTGTTGGTGGGTTTGTGGTACACCTCAGTTTGCAAATGTCCTATCAGAAACTGAGACCTCACAGTCCAAGAAAGTCAGCCTGCCATTTTTTACATGTTCTCGTCTGAATTATATATATTTATCCACCGAGTTGATGTGATCAGTGAAATGTTGGACTTCCTGAGATTTAATTTTAACCCAGGTGTCGTCACCATATTTGAACCAATGACTTGGTGGTGTCCCTGAAAAGGACGTCAAGGCTCTCTTTTCTACCTCCTCCATGTACAGGTTGGCAACAATAGGAGAAACTGGAGACCCCATAGCACACCCATGTTTCTGCCTATAATATTGCTCCCCATATGTGAAGTAGGTTGACTGCAGGCACAGTTTCAAGAGTTGACACAGTTGTTCTGTGGAAAGTGTGGTCCTACTGCTCAGAGTGGTGTCTGATTTTAATCTTAAACTGACCACCTCTACTGCATCATCAACAGGAATGCACGTAAAGAGTGATGTGACATCAAAAGAGACCATTGTTTCATCAGTCTCCATGATGACATCCCTCACCTTATCCGCAAAGTCCATGGTGTTCTGTATGTGGTGTTCTGAGCTGCCAACTAAAGGGATGAGTACAGACACCAGATATTTGGAAACATTGTAAGTGACAGAGTTAATCATGCTAACGATTGGTCTTAAAGGTACAGGTTGAACAACTGGGAGACAAAGTTAGGGAGGCCAGACTGAGATGGTTTGGACATGTCAAGAGGAGGGACCATGGGTATATTGGTAGAAGGATGTTAAAAATGCAGCTGCCAGGAAAAAGACAAAGAGGAAGGCCAAAGAGGAGATATATGGATGCAGTTAGAGAGGAAATGGAGGTACTGTAGTTCGCATGAGGACAGAGGATGCAGAAGACAGAGTGAGATGGAGGAGGATGACTCGCTGTGGCGACCCCTGAAGAGGGAAAAGCCAAAAGAAGAAGAAGAAGAAAACCTGACAAAATGACTGGTTACTTGCAGTGTTTTAAATGGTAAATGGACTGTACTTATATAGCACCTTTATATCTTATTTCATACATTTTTAATGTTTTTTAGTTTTCTGTTCTGGCCCAGCTTGCCAGAGATAAAACATTGATTTACAAAAAAAAGGCAGAGCCACGTAGTTGAGCAAGGCCAGGAACTAGTTCTAATATCAGAAAAAAAAGAAAAGAAAAAAAAAAACCTCTGTGGCTGTATCAGTTTAATCTCAACATGAAAATTTGTTACCAAAAATACATTCTTGTAAATCATGATAGGGTGTTTCTCGTGAAAAGATTCAGTTTTTGCGGACAAATTAAAATTCTGTTCTCAAAAAAACTTCATACCAAATCTGAAAGTTTCCTTTACTCTTTAGTTGCGTACTGTCAGTCAGAAAACCCTAAAGTATTTCAATATGAGTATTATTTTTGAGCAATTTTATTTAAATGACAGATCAAGGAGAACTTTACAAATATTTCTCACTAGGCCATGCAAGATTAAAATGACCCTAATCCAGGAAATACCCTCACCCATGTGACTGATCTCAGAGAAACGTCAACCTCTGCCTGACCTTTTTTATGATGATCTCATCCTCCTGGGGCCCCAGGCCAGGGCCAAAGTATCCTGTAGGGGCCACACCCCAGACCCCTTCTCAGCTCCAAAGGGCCCCTCACCACAGCCCCATTGTTTTCCTCTGATAATGACTTACCCGCTCTCGTCTACAGGTTATTTCCACTTTGATTTGATCTGGGTCATATTTTGCATTTGAAGACGAGCTGGAAAGAGCTGTGAACACATAAAGAAAAAGGGAAGAAAAAAGGGGGGGTCAACAATTAATTCTGAATTCCAGAGCACCTCGTGTTGGTAAGAGTGCAGGGATCCAGTGTCATTTCCCTGCTTTGGTGTAGGTGAGATGCATTGTGTATGATAGCTGCCAGGAGTCAGAGGGTAAACTGGGTGGAGACGTTTAAAAAAAGAAGGTGGGGAGAGGAAGGACTAAGAGTTTTTGAAAAATTTTCTATAGATCTGCATCCACCCCACCAGTTTTTGAGGGAACTTTATTAGTATAACATGTCTAGGACAAATAATTACAGATAATAAGGTCAGTGTTTTGTTCTGTTTCAGGTTCAGGTTTCATCCTTCTGTCCATCTAACACAATGTTGTGTACATTAGCCAGGTTTGGGTGTGTGTGTGTGTGTGGGGGGGGGGGTGTTCAGGAGATGGAGCCTTACTGCTGGTGATAGAGTGGTTGTCCTCAGAAAGCTCATGGAAGTGCAGCATCTCCTGCTGAGCCAGCTCTAGTCGCTGCTGCTTAACCAGATACATCTCCTTCTTGGCGTTGAGGGCCTCCTGGGCCAACACAAGGTACTCCTTCAACATGCGCTCCTGCTCCTGCCGCCACTGAGTCCGCGGATTCTCAATCTGGGTGGTCTCTGAAGAAAACAATTGACTTATGAGCAAACAACATGGTGAAGCTTTGTGACAGTAAAAATAAATCAGATATCTGATGGCTTTTACTTTTCTAGAATTCATTTTTGTTTAAAAAAAATGCAAATAAAATTTAGTATTTGTGATACAACTAGTGTTTAGTCAAGTTTAATTTATATTTATTAATATATATTATATATTAATAATAATATAATAATTAATGGAAAATGGACTGTAATTGTATATCGTCTATCTTATCAAGATACTCAAAGCGCTTTACACAACAATCTGTGTCTCATTTACCCATTCATACAGCACTACTAGATCTCTACAAAGCTAATTGAACAAATCATTCTAAAGAGACTAATCAGTGCTTTAGATCACATTCATACACTGATGGGAAACATATTGGACGCAATGAGGGGTTCAGTATCTTGCCAAAGCGCACTTAGGCATGTGACTGCTGGTGGATCAGAACCCCCAACTCTTGCATTGGAGGACAACTGCTCTAACCAGTCAACAACAATATTAATTATAATCTATATTAATTAATCTTTAATCTAAATAATCTGAATTGAATTGAATTACTGGGGTTCGCAAATCAAAGGCCTGAGATGTACTCACTGTTGATGTGGTCGATGTAGTAAACTCCCACTTGCTGGTCGTAGACCTCCTCCCAACCCAGAGGCAGTTCATCTCCAACACAGTCGGCAAACGTCAGTGGTTTGGTAATTCTGAAAATATTCAAAGAACCATTCAGCCCCGCAAAGGAATTCTTAAGACCAGCAATGACATAATTAGCCGTATGTCGTCATTTAACCACTGGATGTCCAGGTGGTGTTCTGACAACGACGTGGGCTACATAGATAACTCGAGTTCTTTCTGGGGAAAACCTGGTCTGATGCGAAGAGTAGGCATCCATCCCACTTTGGACAGAGCCGCTCTTCTTTCTAGAAATATGGCTGATTTTGTTTATCCCCCAAATTATTGACAACCCAGGGTCCAGTCCAGGAAGCAGAGTTGTAGTCCTCCACACCTCTCTGCTGCTTCTCCTCTGTTACCCCCCCACACCCCCGATGAAAAAGTGTCAACTCGCCCACGGCTCAAATTAAATAAACCAAAAATTTGCTCTAAAAATATAAACCATAAAAATCTGATTAAAATAAACACAGTTACTTTACCAGAGCAAAATCATAAAATCATTAAATGTGGATTATTGAACATCAGATCTCTTTCCTCTAAACCCTGTTAGTTAATGAACTGATAACTGATCATCATATTGATTTATTCTGTCTGACAGAAACTTGGCTACAACAGGAGGATTTTGTTGGTATAAATGAATCCACTCCTGTTAATTATTTAAATGTTCATGTTCCTAGAACAACTGGCCGAGGTGGAGGAGTAGCTTCTATTTTTCAGTCAGGATTATTGATTAATGCCAAACCAGTTATTAGTTATGATTCTTTTGAATCACTGTCCCTCAGTCTTTCTCATCCAAAATGGAAATCAGAAAAGCCCCTTTTACTAGTTGTTATATATCGCCCACAAGGCGCTTACTCTCAGTTTTTGTCTGAATTCTCAGAATTCTTAACTGACTTACTATTAAATACTAATAAAATCATCATAATGGGTGATTTCAATATTCATGTAGATGTTGAAAGTGATAGCTTAAGCATAGCCTTTAATAATAGAGTCAATTGTAATATTTTACTACAGAGGCTTGAATTGTCAGTTTACACTGTTTTTTTTTTTCTTCTCATCGCTCTGTTCACCGTTTGACTTTTTCTTCTCTGCTCTCCTGGGTTTTTCCTCTGTTGCTTCTACCAGCCTCTTTACATGTCACACCTCTCTCTCTGATTGCTGATGATGGTTTCCACCTGTTTCTGGGTATATATATATATACTTCCTGCTTTCTCCACTACATTGCCAGATCAACTGCTTGCTTCCAGCGACAGTTATCCAGCATACTCTCCTTGTTCACAGCTCTTCAATCTTGATCCACGCCTGTTTCCCTCGACCACACTTTTTGCCTGTCCCTTTTGTGCCTCAGCCTTCTGACCTTGTTGACGACCTACGCCTGTTTTTGGATTTCGACTTTGCCTCTCCCTAACGGTACTGTCTCCTCTTCGGATCCCGTGTATGAACCCTGCTCATCCTCGACTACACCTCTGGATTTCCCTTGGTCTCTGCAGCTCTGTGTCTTCGCTGGAGTGTCCCGTTACAACAAGAAAGGTTAGTGTTTCACCAGATCGTCTGTATTCAGATAACTACTCGTTATTCTGTCAAACACTAACTTTTCCCCTGTGTATCATTTTAGATACATTTCCTGCCCCTGGACCTGAGACACCAGAAGCTGTTTATTTACTCAATAAACATTTTAAAAACCTTTCTGAGTCTGTGTGTAGGATCCTCTACCATCAGATCTCTGACAGATTGATCTGGCCAAACATGAATCCTGCACCGGGCTCAGAATGGTGCTCTGGTGTGGAAGGTGCCATCAGTAAATTAGAGACCGGCATGAATGAGATCATGAACATGCTGAAAACTCTAACTCCTCACTCTAACCCTCAGGACTCAAATCATGCTGGCAGTCCTGCATATGCTGAAACTACAAGTAACCCACTCCGGGAACCATGGTTGGCTCCACCAGAACTGTTTTCAGGGGCACCGGACCAGTGCCGCCCGTTCCTAACACAATGTGAAATTCATTTTCAGCTCCAGCCCTCATTCTTCCCCTCTGAATGTGCTAAGTGTCATGTTCGGCCGTCAGGAATGTTTGAACCCACGTGCAGGAGGATGACGAGGACGCTCGAGGAATAAATAAAAATATATTTATTTAAACAAAACAA